TGTTACATTCCCTCATTAAAAAAACATTCCAGTTCTTTAGAAATATAATTAGTATGATTCATATGTAAAACAGATTATGCAGTGATTTCAGTATCAAAATCTGTGATTTTTTTTCTTTCCTGCTTTTTAAAAAAATCACATTTATTTATTATGTATTTACGGAGGTCAAAGAACAGCTTATGGAGTTGTTTCGCTCTTTCCACTATGTGAGATCCACTGATCTAACTTATAGATGTCATCAGGCCTGGTGGCAAGCACTTTTATCCACTGAGCCATCTCACAGGCCTATGTATTTTTAAAAATTCATAAGATATGTTGTGATTCTTGGCATTTCTACAAACATTTCTATTTTAGGAAAGCTGAAGGATCATTTTCCTTGTCCTGTATCAGATAATTATCATCCTTTAAAAACACTTATTTGTTGATGAACTTAAGAATCTACTTGATAAAATTTATGAGAAAATATGTTTTTACTTCGTGAACTTTTGGTAGGAATGACAATAGAAGTAATTACAGGATTATTGTTATAAAATAAACATTTTATATCATTGGTTATTTGGTGATTAAAACATAGTACAGTTTTATATATCTATATCTATATCGATATCGATATCGATATCGATATCGATATCGATATCTATATCATCTTTCTATATATAATGCATTCTTGATAATCTAAGGGATGATTACAAACATTTTGTCCAATTTAAGGATTATTTTCATGCTTTCCCATCCTAAATCATTCTGTGATTAAAGAAAAGAGCCAGTCCTTTTGCTCTACATTCCTTTATGACCCCAGATGGAAAAAGCAGATGACAGTTGCAGTTCAGCCCTTTGATGCACACTCAGTGGCTGAAGGATGTAATAATGTGTACATTGATAGATTTAAGTTGTGTAGTGATGCTTTTGTGGTTTTTCAGATTTCAGTTTACATTCCACTTAGACTAGAGATCTATGGTAATGGTTGCTTTCATGATTGACAGAGTCAGACTTAACTTGCTGGTGGGAAGTGGTAGGTGGGTTATCTACCAGCCTGGAGAGCTGTTTTCCTTGGCAGCTTTGGGGTGAAAACAATTGAAAGGAACCGGGAAAATAAATACCAGAGTTTTGGGGAGAAAATGGGCTTAATTCACACATGAATGATGAAATACTCTGTGAGGACTTGGAGATTTTAAATATTGAATATCATCTGAAGAATTGCGCACTTTAAAAGTTCTTTCACTATTTATTTTTTTAAATATTTATTTATTATGTATACAATATTCTGTCTGTGTGTATGTCTGCAGGCCAGAAGAGGGCACCAGACTTCATTACAGATGGTTGTGAGCCACCATGTGGTTGCTGGGAATTGAACTCAGAACCTTTGGAAGGGCAGGCAATGCTCTTTACCACTGAGCCATCTCTCCAGCCCCCTTCTTTCACTATTTAAAGAATAGAATTTGACCAGTAGGATATGTAATTTTGATCACTAAGTTGTTTGTATAGAGAACCTAGTACATGTAGTGAATACATATTAAAGCTCTTAAAGTTCATCATTGTATTGCTTTAGCCTCCATTTGAAAGTAAGTGTTTTCTCAGTTTTCAGGTGACAATATTGAACCTAACATATTTTACAATTTTGTGTAACTAGTACATTATAGGATTAGGATCTTAAATTACATACAAATGTTTTTAATCATTTAATATAACACTATAAATATACAGGTCAGAAACCATGTCTGAACTTGTCAGTCCCCAGTCTAATTGTAATTATTTATAGGCCTTTGATTATATTTTATGGTCCTGCTAAGGTATAAAGCCTCTTGTGCTTGCTCTTCTGTGACGTCTTCCTTTCTTTGAGAGGCTTACTTACCTATCATTTCTTTGAAACCCTTCCCTTGCTTATTCTAACTTGTTTTGGTGCTGGCAGTTGGCTGCATGCTTTATGCTCTGCTACTGAGGTATATCCTTAGCCCTGCCCTAACTAGAGAATTATTATTGGCTTTGGTTGATAGCTTCCCTCCCTTTCTTCCATCTCTTTTCTTCTTTGAGATAAGTTCTTCCTATGTAGACTAGGCTGGGCTCGAATTCAGCCCTCCTGCCTCTGCCCTTTAAGTAGTACCGGGATTCTATCATCTCTTGACATTATGGAAAGAGTGATATTTGAATACCTGCCTGCTTCCACTAGGAGGAAAAAAATATAGAGTAGGAAAGGAATTACCTCAGTCAGTGTCTTAGTTAGGGCTTCTATTGCCATGAACAGACACCATGATCATGGCAACTCTTACAAAGGAAAACATTTAATTAGGGCTGGCTTGCTGGTTCAGAGGTTTAGTTTTTTATTGTCATGGCAGGAAGCATGGCAGCATACAAGCAGACTTGGTGCTAGAGAATTAGCTGAGAGTTCTTTATCTGGATTTGAAGGCAGCGGGTCTTGGAGTGTGAGCCACTGGGCCTGGCTTGAGCTTCTGAAACCTCAAAGCCCACCCCCAGTGACACAGTTCCTACAGCAAGGCTACACCTACTCCAACAAGGCCATATGTCCTAATCCTTTCATGTAATGACACCTGAGCCTATGGGGCCATTTTTATTCAAACCATCACAGTCTGTAAAGAACTTGCCTCTCAAGCATGAATGCCTGAATTCTATCTGGAAGCCATGTCAGAAGCCATTAGTGCTTGTAATTCCAGAGACTGGGGTTTGCTGGTTAGTCAGTCTAGTCTAACTGGTGTGTTTCAGGCCATTGAGAGACATGTCTCAAAGGAGGTGGATGATACTCCCGAGGAAGACATCTAAGCATGCACACACACATGAACACATGAGTACTCATGAATACACTTGTTAAAAATAATTCTGGATGAGTTAGTAGACTCTGATGTCCACTCTCAAAGATTTGTAACGTAGGAGACTAAAGGGTTGAACACGAAGCATATTTGATGCTGGTACAGTCTTGGGTTGTCCAGTAGGCACCCCAGTTAACTGTTAGTGTGTGTTTTCTCCTTCCACTTTCACCCAACTTTACTTTGGCTCAAACACAGGCTTGTACTTGAGTTCAGCTCCTCGTTTGGAGTTTGGTTATCTGGGTATAGAAAATAATACACTCTCTTCCTTTTTAGGGAGTAGTTACTAGTTACTACTAGTAGCAGTAGTTACTAGTTCTTTTAGAACTTAGTGATAATATTACTATTTTTGTCCTCTGGTGTTGCTCACACAGCACATAGAACTTTTAGAACATACTGCCTCACCACCAAAGAACATTGCGTCTTCACCAAAGGAGGCTGAAAGTTTCCGAGTTAAAAGACCTCTTTTTCCCCCCTTTAATTTTGGTAAGTTCCCTAAGTTAAAATACAAAGTAAGAGATTTCCATGTTATCTACCGAGAATCTTTAGCATGGTTATTCTTAGTTCATCTAAATCCCACCTTCTTCTCTGCCTGCCTCTAATTTGAAATGTGTTTAACTTTTTATATGAGGACACAAAGATAGTTTGAGCTAGTTTATAGCTTAAAGTGAGTTCGGTTGCTAGGGTGTGGTTGTAAAGTGGTGGCACTGGTGTCACAAGTCACGTACCACTTAAAACATTTTGGCTTCAGCTTACTGAACCACTAGTGATAGCATCACCAAAAATAATAAAGGAGAACTGCCCCGATCCGAAAGTTGCTTTCTATAATTTGTCATGGTCTTTGAATGTCTGTTTCATTCCTATGTGAGCAGTGGGGGAGGTTACAAGTAGGTGTAACAAGTTTTTCCTTGAAGGGAGGAATACGCGCCATAGTGTTGTTTTCCATTTAAAGATTTTTAATTGTGTGTTGGCATGTGTGGAGTATGTGTCCTATAGAACCCAGAAAAGGAAGCTGGATCCCATGGTGCTGAGCTGTCTTGATGTGGGTACTGGGAACTGAGATTGCTTCCTCTGAAGCACAGTTTATGTTCGTAACCTCTGAGCCAGCTCTTAGCACCAGTTGCTAATCTTCCTATTTTGTTGTTTACTGAGTTTGGGTGTGTAGGTTCACATGTGCCTTAGAGAGTGTGTGGAGATCAGAAGACAGCCTGGGAGAGTTGTTTTCGTCCTGTATCCATGTGGGTCTTGAAGATGGAACTCGGGTGTCAGGCTTGGTGGCAAGCATTCTGAGCTGCTGCGGTATCAAGGATGACAGTGAATTCCTTCCTGATTCCTTCCCTCTATCTCTTAAGTGCTGGGATAATAGGGTGTATCACCATCCCACCCTTAGCTAATAGTTTTCTAAAATTTAGTGTTTATAAGGAAAACACTTACTACTGAGCACTTATTAAGTATATGGGTGATTTGTTTCTATGAGACCACGAAAATAAAAGTCCATTTCTTTTGGAGTAATTATTTACCTGGACAATAGGTTGCAGTACGCTCAACAGTCCTAAAGGGTTTTTTTTCCTTCGTGTGCGTGTGTGTGTGTGTGTATGTTTGTATCATGCATGTTTACAGGTGTGTGGGCACACAAATGTTTGTGCATGTGGAGACCCGAGGTTGACATTGTGTGCGCTGTACACTCATTGGGGCAGTATATCTGAACTGAATTCAGAGCTCAACTGATAAAGGCTCGTGTAGCCAGCCATCTTATTCTGTGCCCATCTCTGAGTGCTTGGAGATAACAGGCAGGCAGCCCACTGGCATTATATGAACCTTGGTCTTCATCCTCGCACAGTAAGTACTTTAGCCAGCTTGTGATTGTGAATATTTATAGTCAGACATGCTTAGATTTGGGAGAAGACTGTTTTTGTGTTAAGCCTAGATTTTCATTTATGGATGAGAGCTAGACAAATAATACTTGTTTGTATTTTACTAATGAAATGAGAGTAGAAAACATGTTTAGTTTATGATTTACATTGATCAAAGTAATTCAGATCTGTCACCTTGAAATTAGATGTGTTGTGTTTTTCCCATCCTTTGTTAAAATAACCTGTAATATGCTGTTGTGTTTTCCCCAACACAGTAGTGTGCAAATAAGTACTTGAGAGTAACCTAAGCATGTGACTGTTTCCATAGGCATCAAGCATGATGGAACTATGTGTGATACTTGCCGCCAGCAACCAATCATTGGCATTCGATGGAAATGTGCAGAGTGTACAAATTATGATTTGTGCACCGTTTGTTATCATGGAGATAAGCACCACTTAAGGCATCGTTTTTATAGGATCACTACACCAGGAAGTGAACGGTAAGGGAAACAAGTTTTTCCTTTTTTCCTATTAACTTTAAAGTAGGATTAGGAAGTAGCTTTTGATAATTTAGATTTAGTTTTAGGAGAAAATGAATAGCAGGCTAGACTTGGATTGAACTTGTTGATTTGTGAGTGACTCTGTGAAGGTAAAATTTTATTGTATGTGGGTTTCTCTCTTGTTTCCTTTTTTAAAGACAGGGTCTCATTGTAGAGCTCTGGTTGACCTTGAACTCAGTATGTAGTCCAGGTTGACCTCCAATTACTGATTTTTTTTTAAATATTTATTTATTTATTATGTATACAACATTCTTTCTACATGTATGCCTGTAGGCCAGAAGAGGGCACTAGACCTCATTACAGATGGTTGTGAGCCACCATGTGGTTGCCGGGAATTGAACTCAGGACCTTTGGAAGAGCAAGCAGGCAATGCTCTTAACCGCTGAGCCATCTCTCCAGCCCAATTACTGATTTTTTTTTATAAGATAATCTTGGCTATTTTTTCTCTAGTGTGGGGCTTGACATTGCTGAACAGTTGGAAATATATGCCCCCTCCTAAAAAATTTGAATAATTTTCTTATTATACCCTTTGTTTTAATTCTATTCAATGAACACTATGGCCTACTGATTGAGTCAGCAGGCGTTTATTATGGATAAAGACTTGAGATATGGCTCAGATGGTAAAGTGCTTGCTTCATAAACTTGGGGAGCTATGTTTGAATACCCAGCACCCATGGAAAGCTAGGCATATGACACATTTTTATAGCCAGTGCTGGAGAGGCAGACAGAAGGATACTTGGAGCTCTGGCTAGTCTGTCTAGCTAAACATTGAACTCCAGGTTCAGTGAGAGATCTTTTCAAAAAGTAAGGTGGAAAAGTGATTGAGTGACACCCAACATTGGCACCTAACCTCACGTATACATGCACACCTGTACACACAGACACATGCATACATGAATGCATACACACACACACACAGAGGCTATGCGGCAGCTACTGTATTTGTAATTTGTAGATAGTTTTCTTAAGGAGTTTATAATTTAAGAGGAATGCTGATCATGAATGAAAATCGTGATGTTTTGGACAGGATAATGTCTTAAGTCTTAGGATTGATGAGGTGGGTGTGGAATTTTAGGTAGTGGAGTCTTCTCGTATAGATAGGATACTGTATTTGAGTAAGTGTGCAGCCAGTGAGAGAGCCACAGCTTGGGGCAATCGGGAAGGAGTTTTGAGTCACAACATCTCACTTCAGATCATGGTCCTGCCACTCAAACTGAGTATTTTGGAAAAAAAAAAAATTCTTGTTTTTGCTTAAAATTAAAATTAAGGAATGATAAATAGATTTTAAAAAATGAGTATAATAATAAGATTACATTTAAAAAGCAAAAGCCTAAAATCTGAATAAAAAGGATGTAGATGAGTAAGGGGCAGCTGGCTCAAATAATTGAGTGAAATCTTTCCCAAGGTTTGTAAATGCTTCTAAGTGTGCAATACTCCAGAGACAGTACAGTGTAGTCAAATCTGGCCTCAGATTCAGTTTGATTCATTGCTCACTTTTCACAGATTCTTAAAGATGTCCCCACCCCCATTCTGAACCCATCTTGTTGTTCTTGACATTTGGCAGAAGCAGAGGTCTATTGTTCTTTGTAGAGAGATCATGCTCTTGAGATGACCAAAATGCTGCCACTAGCTGTTTGCCCTAAATCACAGCTAAGTGTGTGGTTTGCAGCTCATCTGATACACTGTGTTCAGCAGGCCCTGACAGAGTACACTTAGAGACATAGCCTGAAGTGGTGGTGCTAGGTGCTTTTTCTGATTCCATTGCTTTATGTGTTTTTGCAAACCTGAGCAAAACCTTTTTTCATGCGTAGATTCCTCAGTTGTAAAATGGGCAATTTAATGTTGTCTTTATAAGGAACTAATACTTTCCCCATGTAAAGGCTTTTTTTTTAATATACATTTTTACATATAAGTTACTATTTCTCAGTTTTATAAAATGTGAAAACAAAACTTCTTTTATTTTTAGGGTTCTGTTAGAGTCTCGTAGAAAATCTAAGAAGATTACAGCCAGAGGAATCTTTGCAGGTGCCAGAGTGGTACGAGGAGTGGACTGGCAGTGGGAAGATCAAGATGGGGGCAATGGGCGTAGAGGAAAGGTATGGACTTTTAAAAATTGACCATGTATTCTAGAGTGTTGAGAGTTGAGATTTCTGTGTGTGTGTGTGTGTATTTTACGTACTAATCCCAGTTCCTTCTCCCTCCCCTCTTCCCACTCTCCCACTTACCCCTCTCCCCAGCCCTCATCTGCTGCTCCTCAGAGAGGGTAAGGCCTCCTATGGGAAGTCAACAGATTCTGTCACATCACTACATTGAGGCAGGACCAAGGCCCTTCCTCTTGTGTCTAGGTTGAGCAGGGTTTCTCTTCATAGGAAATGGGCTCCAAAAAGCCAGATCATTCATTAGGGATGACTCCTGGTCCCCATGCCAGTGGCCCCACAAACTGCCAAGCCATCCCCACTGCCGCCTGCTTTCAGGGGGCCTAGATCAGTCTTACGCAGATTTCCTGGTTGTTTGTCCAGAGTCAGTGAGCACCCACTAGTTCAGGTCTATTATTTCTGTGGGTGTCCCCATCATGGACTTGACCCCTTTGCTCTTGTTAGCGCTCCTCCCTCTCTTCAACAGGACTCGGGGAGCTTTGTCCAGTGGTTAGTTGCACAGCTAAGCACTCTGCATCTGCCTCTCTGCATCTGCTTCCATCAGTCATTGGATAAAGGTCTTAGGAGATCATGTCTATTTCCCCTTCTTAGGCAGATCCACGTATGTCTCTCTTAGGGTCCTCTTTGTTACTTAGCATGTCTGGGGTTGTGGACTGTAGTCTGGTTATCCTTTGCTTTATGTCTAATATGCACTTATGAGTGAGTACATGCCATATTTGTCTATCTGGGTGTGGGTTACATCACTCAGGATGTTTTTTTCCACTCCATTTATTTGGCTGCATATTTCAAGATGGTTTTTGCCGCAGAGTAGTACTCCATTGTGTAAATTTGCCACATTTTCCTTATGTATTCCTCAGTTGAGGGGCATCTAGATTGTTTCCAGGACTGCCTATTACAAATAATGCTGCTGTGAACATAGTTGAGCACATGATCTTGCATGCCTCTTTTGGGTATATGCCTAAGAGTGGTATTGCTAGATCTTGAGGTAGATTGATTCCTAACCCTAACTTGCCATACTGATTTCCAAAATAACTGTACAAGTTTGCACTCCCACCATCAATGGAGGAGTGTTTTCCTTACTCCACATCCTCTCCAGCATAAGCTGTCACCATTGTTCTTGACCCTAGCCATTCTGTCAGGGCTAAGATGGAATCACAGAGTTGTTTTGATGGCTAAGGATGTTGAGTAATTCTTTAAGTGTCTTTTAGCTACTTGAGTTTCTTCTGTTGAGAATTCTCTGTTTAGATTAGTACCCCATTTTTAAATTGGATTATTTGGTATTTTGATCTTTAGTTTCTTGAATTCTTTGTATAATTTGGAGATCAGCCCTCTGTCAGATGTGGGGTTGAAGATCTTTCCCATTCTGAGGGCTGCCATTTTGTCTTCTTGACTGTGTCTTTTGCCTTACAGAAGCTTCTCAGTGTCAGGAGGTCATTTCTCTCAGTGTCTATGCTACTGGTGTTATATTTAGGAAGTGGTCCCCTTGCCAGTGCGTTCAAGTATACTTCCCACTCTCTATTCTATGAGGTTCATTGTAATTGGTTTTCTGTTGAGGTCCTTGATCCATTTAGACTTGAGTTTTGTGCATGGTGATAGATATGAATCTGTTTGCATTCTTTTACATGTTGATATCTAGTTATGTCAGCACCATTTGTTGAATTTGCTTTTTTTTCTATTTTTTTTTTAGTGTCTTTGTCAAAAATCAGGCGTTCATAGGTCTGTGGATTAATATCAGGGTCTTCGATTCTGTTCCATTGGCCCACCGTCTTTTTTTGTGCCAATACCAAGCTGTTTTTATTAATGTAACTATAATAGTGTTTGAAGTCAGGGATGGTGATGCCTCCAGAAGTTCCTTTATTGTACAGGATTTTTTTTTTTTTTTTTGGCTATCTTGGGCTTTTTGGTTTTCCGTATGAAGGTGAGTAATGTTCTTTCAAGGTCTGTAAAGAATTCTGTTGGGATTTTGATGGTTGTTGCATTGAATCTGTAGATTGCTTTTGGTAAAATTGCCATTTTTACTACGTTAAATGGGAGGTCTTTCCATTTTTTGATATCTTAATTAGTTTCTTTTTTCACAGACTTTAAAAGTTCTTGTTAGTCATTCACTTGTTTGGTTAGAGTTATCCCAAGGTACTTTTTGTTTTTTGTGACTATTGTGAAGGGTGATGTTGCCCCAATTTCTTTTTCAGCCCATTTATCATCTGTATCTAAGAGGGATACTGATTTTTTTTTTTTGAGTTAATCTTGTACCATGTTACTGAAGGTGTTTATCAGCTGTAGGAGTTCGTGGTAAAAATGTTTGGAGTCACTTATGTATACTGTCGTATCATCAGCAAATAGCAAAAGTTTGACTTCTTTCCAGTTTGTATCCCCTTGATCTTCTTTTGTTGTCTTATTGCTCTAGTGAGAACTTGGAGTAAGTATTAAATGGCTCTGGAGACTCATATAGTGCCTGTTCCATTTGCAGCCCTCCTGCAAAGTAACCAATAGCCATATTTTGTGTTTACCATTTTCTTGTTTTTCTTTAGTACTTTTTGTGAATGTAGATTGTCACAAGAGCAATTGATATTTACATTTCGAAAATGTAGCAGTCACGGACCTAGCTATTGTAATGTCAGGGCAGAATGCTCATTTTAAATTAAGGCTCTCAGAAAAATGGGAACAAAATAGTCTGTAGTTTCTCTTCAGGATCTCTAAAATTTGTGAGAGTCCTTCTGGGGCTTTCAGCAGGCGCGGCTGTTCATGAGCTCTGGGAACATGGAGCTCAGCATGTGCTATGAGGTGGCGGACGTAGGCTAGATACTGGGTGAGAACATTGTCAGAGGAGATACATTGCTGTGTAGTTTTCGCTTCTAAGATCACCACACATTACAAACTTGTACAGTGTTAATTAGGCAGAATCCTGAAGCGTGGTAGAGCATTGATGGAGTAAATTTAGAAAGATGGTTGCCTCTTGAGAGAAGGCAGAGGGGTGGATGAGCACATGGGGTCTTGAAAAGTCTTGGCATTTTTCTTTTTGGTTTTTCAAGATGGGTTTCTCTGTGTAACTGTCCTGGCTATCCTGATCTTGTTTTGTAGACCGGGCTGGCCTCGAACTCACTGAGATTTGCCTGCTTCTGCCTCCCGAGTGCTGGGATTAAAGGCGTCTGCCACCACTGCTATGACATTCATTTTTAAAGGTAGTAGAATATTTATAAGGGAGTTCATTTCTTTTTTATTCTTAAAAGTATGCATATTTTGTTTTTTACAATACTTATAAAAATTTAAAAGAATATATGGCCTTATTAGTAATTTGAAACATTTCTCAAATGGTTAATTAAGTCTTAAATGAAATCATTTTATTTGTACAAAAGCACTGCCAAATACCTACCCAACGAAACTATTTCTTCAGTACAAAGAAGAAAAAAAGTTTAATATGTACTTTTACTTTGAGGAATGAATACTAGTCGACTGGGTGGTGGTGGTGCACGCCTTTAATTCCAGCACTCGGGAGACAGAGGCAGGTGGATCACCTGCCTGATCGAGGTTAGCCTGATCTACAAGAGCTATTTCTAAGTCAACTCGATTTTTTATACAGAGAAACCCTGTCTTGAAAAACAAAACAAAACAAAGAAAAGTAATATAGTCTGGGTTATTCTTTATGTTTGTGAGATGCTGGTGTATGTGAGTGTTAAGAGTGGAGCAAAGTCATTTGGGTTGTATGTGAGCAGCTCTCTGTTCTTAGGTGTAGACAGTGGGAGTGCCAGCTTCGTTACTGTGTGTTACTTTGTGTGCTTGACTCTCGGCCTTAAGGATTAGTAGGCAACCAACACATGAATGCATGGGTGTGTGTGTGTGTGTGTGTGTGTGTGTGTGTGTGGTAGAGAACGGGGAGAGGAAAGAGAACAAGTTGGAGTTTACCCAGGTAAGTTTCAAGTATCAGTTTGTTTGTGGGTGTGGCATTATGTTTGTGCCCATTATTGCATGCTGTTCTAGCTGGGGTAGCCTGTTTTCTTGAGCAGCTCAATGCCACTGACATTCTTAACAACTCTGGGTTTGTCATCTTGTAGCTGACTAGAAAACAGGTTTATCTTCAGTTGTTTAGATACATGCTTAAAGATTTTAAATTACGTATTGGATAATTGGCTAAAAAGAGTAAGCTTTGTTCTTAAAGGATTTTAAAATTTGCATTATTCATTTTCTGATAACCTATTAGCCTAATTTCTTTGCCTCCTAGTTAAAAATTTCTACAGTGATATTAGAATGTACTTCATAACTCTCAAGGTCAGGTGTGGGGATATAACCCCATAATTTAAACAGGAAGTTTGAGGTCTCCTGGGTTGTGTTCTGACAGCTTGTCTCAACACCCCTTCCCTCAAACAATAGTCACAACACCAGGCTGGGGATACACTCAGTGGTAGAGTGCTTGCCTAGCATATAGAGAAGCCTAGGACTAAGGAGAAAAACCAGCACAAACATTTACAGAAGCTGGATTTGGTGCTACACACGTCCAGCAGTTCTGTCTCTTGGGAGGCTGAGACAGGAGACTTTTGAGTTTGAGGTGAGGATGGGCTACTCAAGGATATTCTATCTTAATAAAACTTATAATTCTGGAAAAGTAGAACTTTATTGATAATTTAACGATGCTAAAAGTAACATATTTGGCAAATAGGTATTTTTATTGATATTTGTTATATAGGTTGATAGATGAAAAGATTTTTAAGATTTCAATATAATTAAAGTAGCTAACCTTTTCTTTTGTTTGCTTTTTTGAGACAGGGTTTTTTGCACAGCTCTGGCTATCCTGGAACTTGTTTGGTAGACCAGGCTAGCCTTGAACTCACAGAAGTCCTCCTGCCTATGCCTCCCAAGTGCTGGGATTAAAGGTGTGTTTCTGCTGCCTGGCTTCTTCTTTCTATTTTTTAAAAAAGGTTTTCCCCCCTAAATTTTGTTAGGTAACGGAAATCCAAGACTGGAGTGCATCAAGCCCACACAGTGCAGCGTACGTTCTCTGGGATAATGGTGCTAAGAACCTTTACAGAGTTGGCTTTGAGGGCATGGTGAGTAGTGACAGTGGGCGGGCCTGGGTGGGAACTGATGCCCATCCTGTGTGTGCATTCTGCCTCGTGTCTGAGCCATGCATCTGCAGCAGGAAGAACATCTGTGATGTGAGGGTTTCAGCTCCTCAGACCTGACTCAGACTTTGTGTATAAACTGCCTAATAGCAGATATGCTTTTGCCATAGTGAATGTCTAGTGGATTTAGCTTTTGAAATCTAAACAAAAAAATTAGAGTCATCTATAGAACTGTTCTTTGGAGTAGATTTGGATGCTAGTATTAACGTGAGGTGGGTTTTGTATTCTATGCTGTGGTAGCTGATAAAAAGTATAAATTATTTTTAAGGAAGTTTTTAAGTTTTTATTTAAATGCATTGTTGTTTTGCCATGGGTGTTGGGTTCCCTGGAAATGGAGTTACAGATAGTTGTGAGCTCCTGTGTGGGTGCTGGGAATTAATTCTGATTCTCTGGAAGAAAAAGTCAGTGCTCTTAATCACTGAGCATCTCCCCAACCCCTCTTGTAGTTTTATTAGAATGAAGAGTTGATGATTAAATGTGATCTTGTATGCACAATCCCAGCACTCCAGAAGTGGAGGAAAGAGGATCTTAAGTTCAAGGCCAGTTTGGGCACATAATGAGACTGTCTCAGGAAATAAAAAAGAAGATAAAACAAGAAAGCAATAGATTTGGAAACACTTAGTGGAGAATAACGTAGGTTTAGTCAATAGATTGCTTTATATTTCTGTATTTCATGGACCATTGTTCAAATACTAACTTTATTTTGGGACAGGGTCTCACTGTGTAGCTCACCAGACTGGCCTTGAACTCAGATCTGTCTCACTTGACCTCCTAAGTGCTGGGATTAAAGATGTGGGCACCATATCCAGCCTTACTGTTTATTTTCAAATGCAAATTTCTTTAATAACCTTTCAGTTATGAATATGTTCCAATTTAAGGAATTATTATTATAGTTTTGTTGTGTAATGTTTTACTCTTGGCTTTTTGAGGGACCCACCACACAGCTCCCAAATAAATCACACACGAAAGGTTATTATTACTTATGAATGTCCAGCCTTAGGTTGGCTTGTTTCCAGTCAGCTTTTCTTAAATTATCCCATCTATCTTTTGCCTCTGGACTTTTATCTTTCTCTTCTGTAAATCTTACTTTCACTCTTACTTCATGGCTGGCAGCGTGGCTGGCCCCTGACGTCCGTCCCGTCCTCCTTTCCTTATTCTCTTGTTCTTTTTATTTTACTCTCTGCCTGCCAGCCCCGCCTATCCTTGCTTCTGCCTCACTATTGGCCATCCAGCGCTTTATTGGAACCTTCAGGTGTTTAGACAGGCAAAGAACCACAGTTTTACAGAGTTAGACAAATGCAGCATAAACAACAATCACACACCTTAAAATAATATTCCCCAACATTTTAATTGTGATACTGGGGTTTTGTGCATGCTAGGCAAGTGCCCAGCAGTGAACTGTTTCCCCAGCCCAGAGAATTCTTTGTTTCTTTCCTCAACTGTCTTTGTCTTCCATTTGGAGAGCAGAAAAATAGCCAAATGTCTCCTTTATATATTTTGTTTATGTATGAAAGCCAATGTGAACTTAAACAAATGCTTTATTTTTTTATTTTTCTTTTTTTTTTGTTTTCGAGACAAGGTTTCTGTGTCACCCTGGCTGTCCTGGAACTTTCTTTGTAGACCAGGCTGGCCTGGAACTCAGAGATGTTCCTCCCTTGCCTCCCAAGTGGTGGGATTAAAGGCGTGTGCCACCACTGCTTGGCTAGCAAATGCTTTTAATGATGCCAAATTATCATAGGCTATAGAATCGACTTGTTTTCTTTCCCACTGCATATTCAAGATTCAGATGCAGCATGCTTTCGAATTGTGAGTTTTTTTTAAATGATTCCAACTGACTATTAATTCATATGAAGATGTATGTGCATTCAAGTAGTTAAATAAATACCATATACAGGTTGATGACTCATGAGGTTAGTGCCATTATTTAATGAGATGTCTCTTTGAAGGTTACTTTCCCTCTCCACGGCGGTGAGCAGGGTGGCAGCCAGTATACTTTAATATGTTTTTGCTTATTATGGGCATATTTCCCTAGGATAGATTTTTAGAGGTAGAATTACTACATTAAAATGATTATAGCCTTTTTCTCAGTCTGGGGTTGAGTAACATTTCATTTTTATTGCAAGATGGGCTGTTACAGAGCTGGATTCTGTGTGGATGTGCCTGTCACTTACTATACAAATCAGCAACTCTTGGACATTTTTTAGTGCATCTGTTTTTTGTTTGTTTGTTTTCTGTTTTTTCTTTAACTCACTTTAAATTTTTTGTAAGTAACACCTAAGATTAATGTCCCTATTTCTTGTAACTTGTAACTACAGGTGTCTCTACTCTACTACTTAAGTAAGAATGAATATATTTTATTGTAAAAATAAGTGGGACAGACCTTAATTAACCAGATAGAGAAATTAATTGCAAAGGATCAAAAACTGGGTTTGGCCGGGCTGGGGTGGCGCACGCCTTTAATCCCAGCACTTGGGAGGCAGAGGCAGGAGGACCTCTGTGAGTTCGAGGCCAGCCTGGTACAAGAGCTAGTTCCAGGATGGGCTCCAAAACCACAGAGAAACCCTGTCTCGAAAAACCAAAAACCAAAAAAAAAAAAAAAAAAAAAACCAAACCAAAACCAACCAACCAAACAAACAAAAAACAACTGGGTTTGATTCCATTTCTCTGCTTTTGTTCTGCAGGCTGCTTGTTTTTATGTAGTTTTTCTTCTTACACGTGCTTGCCTTGTATCTTTAAAATGTGAGAAAGGATCAAATGCAGTGAGATTTTTGTTTAGTTTGGGTAAAATTATTTTAAAATTTCAATGTGTTGTGCATTTATCAAATACTGGGTATTTCTTAGAGTTTGTTGTTTATCATGTGCTTTTGAAAATACTTAATGTTGAAATGTTAGCTTTGAACTCTAAAATTAGATAGCGGGCAGTAACTCAGGCTCGTCTTGTCAGATCAGTGTTCTGGTCTAAGGTGTGACTCTCCTGGGGCTGCCTCTGCCGTGTGCTGAGTGAAACGTGCCTCTTCTAGACCTTGTGCCGTATTTCAAGTTTTCATGGGTTATTTTCTTGGTTTCTTTCCTTAGTCTGATCTGAAGTGTGTCCAGGATGCCAAAGGAGGTTCTTTCTACAGAGATCATTGCCCTGTGTTAGGTGAGTTAAGCAGATTAAAGAAAATTGCTAAATCATGAGTCAGGTCTATAATGATCAAGATAATGTCTAAATTTGACAGAAAAATTAATTATCATTAAAGTTACGTAGAGAAATACTTGGTTTCATTTTATTTAGTTTTAAAACCTTTATTCCTTTTCCATGGTTTATTTATGCTCAGAAGGAGTTGTTATGTCTTGGGAATTGGGGGGGGGGGCGGCTTGTTTCTCCTGGCCGCCTGGCTAGCTTATCTAGATTCTTTCTGTTTTTAATAACACACTTGAAAAGAAGGGTGGGTTACTGGGCACATACTGGTGTCTTGTGGTGTAGTATGGTTCCAAAATAGCTAGAATCAAGAATTTGAAATGTTTTTATCATAAAGGATAAATATTTGAGGAATTGAATATGCTTACAACCATGATTTTCTCATTATACATTTTATATATAAGTATCATAGTGTATCCATGAATATGTACAATTATCACATGTCAATTAAAAATAAACTTTCATTAAAAGGTTCTAAGGGAACACCATGAATAGTTGTTGGTCAATAAGTGAGTGAGGTAAAATAAATGTAAAGAACAGACTCTTAGACAAAAACACCACAAATTTTTTTTTTGATTAGACAAAATAAAGAACTAGAAAATTAACATTGTCATGATGACAAGGTAGTGATCACACACACACACACACACACACACACACACACACACGTGTGCAGCTGCTTACTACAGTGGCTCTTTTTTCCTTCATTTTCCCCTTTGATTATTTGTGTTTGGGATGACAGGTGAGCAGAATGGCAACAGGAATCCTGGTGGATTGCAGATTGGTGACCTGGTGAATATAGACCTTGACCTGGAAATCGTACAGTCTTTGCAGCATGGTCACGGAGGATGGACTGATGGGATGTTTGAGACTTTAACTACAACTGGAACTGTCTGTGGCATTGATGAAGATCATGACATTGTAGTGCAGTATCCAAGTGGCAATAGGTTGGTACTATTTCCTGAATTTTGATGACAGAGTTAACATAAGGGACAGAAGCCTTAAAGAAAGCAAGTGACATGCTGTAATTCAAGGTTTAAAATGTTGGTCCTTAGGCAGTATATACAAATTCAGAATATGCTGGTAAGGTATTTAGGTATATCTGTGTATGTTTGCCTGCATGCACATGCACATGTGCACTTTTACATTGAAGTCAGAGGAAGCTTGCAGAAGTCGGGTCTCTCCTTCCATCTTAGGAGTTCTGGGGTTTGAACTCAGGTTGTCAGGGTTAGTGGTAAAAATACCTTTACTTGCTGATCCTTCTCATTGGTCTTGTATATGATTCATACTATTTAGAGCCTCTTTCCCTCTGGGGTTGCTTTAGAAACAAGTGTTCTTGTATGCTTGTAATGTTTTATTTATTATTTATGTGTTTGTGTGCCTGCATGAGTTTATTTGCACCATATGTATGCAGGAGTTGTTGGAGGCCAGAAGAGAATCCACTGAAATGGGCTTAAAGGTGGTTGTGAGCCACCATGTGGGTCCTGGGAATCAAACCCTGGTCTTCTGCAAGAGCAGAAAGCGTGCTTAGCCCAGTGGTTCTCAACCTTCTAACGCTGCTACCCTTTAATACAGTTTCTCATATTGTGGTGACCCCACCATAAAATTGTTTTGTTGTTATTTCATAACTGTAATTTTGTTACTGTTGTCAGTTGTGGTGTAAATGTCTGATAGTGACCCCCAAGAGATCCCTACCCCACAGGTTGAGAAACACTGACTTAACCACTGAGTCATTTAACCGGCCTCTTGCGTAGTTCTAGGAACAGGTTTGTTTGTTTGTTTTCTAAACTGTAATCTAATCTTTCAGATCCTCTTATTCCAGATAAGTACTTGGATTCTGAAAAGTGTACAAGATACAAATAATTAAGGAATTTATTTGACAAAGGATCTGTTTCTGCATTGGAGTTGAGTGTTTGTTTAAGTGCAGTGTGTTTTGTCTGTGTCAGGGAGGTGCTAGCAACATGGAGAAATGCTCGTGTAAAATAAACCGCAATTGCGGGGTGGAGACATAGCTCAGCTATAGGATGTTTGACTGGCATAAATGAAGCCTTGTCTTCATTCCACAGCACTGCACAGATCAGATATGTGGCACAGGCCTGTAATCTAAGATTTCGGGATTAAGATGCAGGAAGACAAAAGAGTAAGTTGTTCTTACTCTTTTGAGGTAGCCTAGGCTATATGTGATTCTGTCAAAGAAACAAAAACAGAAGAAATTATGTGTGTGGTCCTAGGAAATTGAACCAGGGTTTGGGCGTACCAGGCAGTCAGTATCACTGAGCTACAGCCCCAGATCAGATTTATTTTGACACTGGTACTAAAATTATGGAAAGTATTTATTTCCCATGGCAAATTAAAACTAGAGAGCCTTTATCTGTGAGATTGGCAGTGTTCTAGGTCAGTGGTTTTCAACTTTCCTAATGCTGTGACTCTAATATAGTGACCCAAACATACAATTATTTTATTGCTACTTCAAAACTGATTCTGCTGCTGTTGTGAATTGGAATGTAAATGTCTGATATTCAGGATATATGATGTATGGTGTCTGTTGAAAGTGTTGTCATGGCATGTTGGGTAGGCAGTGTAGCTAGGACAGAATGGTAAGTAAATATATGTGATCAGGAGAGAAAGCTTTTCCTTAAGCAGCTGTGAAGAAACCAATTATGTATGCACAATGATGTACACACAGAGATGTTATGTATCGTATGTACTGGTAAGCATTGAAAATTATATAACAAAGAAATAAAACTCATTCAGAATGTAGTTGCCGAGAATTGCTTTATTATTTTGAAGTGGTGCATGATTTTTCTCCCCTCAATGTTTAAAGATGTCCTGAATGAATTTTTATGTTCTGAGCCTGGTTCTACTCTTGTAGGTGGACCTTCAATCCTGCTGTTCTCACTAAGGCAAACATTGTCCGAAGTGGGGATGCTGCACAGGGAGCAGAAGGAGGCACCTCACAGTTTCAAGTGGGTGATCTTGTGCAAGTTTGTTATGATCTGGAAAGAATTAAACTTCTCCAAAGAGGACACGGTGAATGGGCTGAAGCGATGCTTCCAGTAAGGATATGTAAAATAGCTTGGGAAGAGATATATTTTGCTTATAGAATTAATTAATTAAAGCAAATTACTTTTTAGAAACAATTGGAATTGAAAGTTACATTTAAAAATATCACTCAAATGTAATTGCAAAGGATTGCTTTACATACACACTGTATGTGTATGTGTGCGCACACATTGGCACACACGTGTGTATATGTACACATTAGTAGAGTTGTATTCTAGGTGTACATAGGCAGCAAGGTGTACTTATGCCTAGTTTATTCCAGTTGCATTAGCCTAGGAAGATCCAGAAGGGGCTAGTATTTCTAACACTGTTAATAATGGGTGTAATGTAGTATTAGAAGGCAGAGGTTTTTCTGATATTTAGTTCCCAAATATAAGAGCTGCATGCACTTCTGTCTTGGTAGTACAGGTAGCCTAAGATGTGCAGGATGTAGGGGTAGTACACGCACACGTCTCTCAGAGTGGTTTTGCTATCAACAGTGCAGCTTAATTTGCTTAATTTTTAGTTTTTCACTCAGTACACATTTCATCAGCTGTTCAACAATAATAAACAAGCTTATTTTGTCCTTCATTTATTTGTTCTTTTCTTTCACCAGATTTTCTTTTGTCCCCTCCTGTTTTACTTTGTTTCTTTCTGTTCCTGGTTCTGTGGCCCATCTTCTTCCATCTTGTTTTGTCCTCCTGATCAATCCTTTGCACAGTTGACTTTTCGGCTCTTTGTTATTTTCACTTTCCATCCTCTGTGCTTCCTCTCTCCCCTTAGAAACCCATCACGCTACTGTGTGTTGTTCAAACCCCTCCTCCCATTTCTTAGGACAGTGCTTCCATTTCTTCCTCTTTACCCTCAGTTCCTGCCCTAAGTAGCCTCATCCTATCTTCTGTGATCTTCCTGTCTTGTCTTTACTGTTATCCTGTCTATCCTTCTAGCTGTACTCCTCAGTAGATAATTTAGACTTTTGGTCCACATCAGCTGTATTGTAGCGGAGGGAATTCATAGGATATCTGGTAGACCTGAGAGCAGGACCTATTTGCTGTATTTGATTCTCAGTGGCTAGTGTGGAGATTAGTGCTGTAACTGAATAACTTGGAATTCTCTTGACATGAGACACGATTGCTCTTGGCAACACTCCTCTGTTCCCGAGAGAATGTTGGGCACTGAAGACCCTTCACTTGGAGCTTGTTTTCTTCTTGGCAAATCTGTCTTTTGGGCAAAGAACTTCCTTGCCTCGACTACTGACAGTATGCACAGTTTCCAAACTGGACAACCAGCATACAAGCAAAAAATGACTGCCAAAGCTTACCAAGACAGGGTAGGACAGTCTTGTGAGTTTTTCTGCCTCTGAAAATGGTCTGTCAGATACTTTAGGCCTTCCAGAGGTCCTCCGTTCAGTTCCCAGAAGCCACATAGTAGTTCACAGCCATCTTTAACTATTGACAGAGGTTTCTGTTCTGCCTGCTCCGGCAGCCGTTTGGTCCCAAAGAAACACACAGAGGTCTACATTTAATTATAAAATGGTTGGCCTATTAGCTCAGGCTTTCTTATTAACTAACTCTTTTTTTTACAATTCCAGAATGTTAATTTTTTTTCTTTTTTATTAATTGTGTTTATTTTTTAAAAAAGAAATCAAACTATCCTTTTTTCACTATACATACCAATCCAAGTACATTGTAACTTTTAAATGCCCCACCATCTCTCATGTTCCTACAACCACAGACAATCTTCCAACAGAAAAATTCTTAAAGAAAGCACTTAAATTCTAACAGTTTATACCTCAAATGTCTGAAAGAAATCAGTAACTCTTACATTTTACATTAACCCATAATTCTTGTCTGTGTTAGCCACATGGCTTGGTATTTTTATCAGTGAGGCAATTCTCATCTGCTTCCTTTGTGTCAGGGTGACGAGTGCAGACTGAGCCTTTCTTCTTCCCAGAATTCTCCTGTTCTGGTTGCCCTGCCTGTACTTCCTGCCTGGCTACTGGCCAATCAGCATTTTATTAAACTAATACAAGTGACAAATCTTTACAGGGTACCATTGTCCCACAGTATATAATGAGGTCTGGTGCCCTCTTCTGGCATGCAGGCATACATGCAGGCAGAACAAGTATACATAATAAATAAATCTTAAAGTCAAAAACATTAAAGTCAAGTAATTCAAAATAAGCTAAAATAAGGATGTCAAGATACAGAAGAATGAAATAAAAGATACAAGGTCTTAGAACTTAAGAAAGAAAAAGAAGAAAAGGGTCATTTAAAAACATAATGATTGGCTTAGGAGATGGCTCAATTACAAAGAACCTATCAAGTAGGCATATTTCCTGTGGCTGGAAATTTCCCATATTATCCTGTGTAAAACGTCAAGCATCTGTGACCTAGCAGGGAGAGGCAAATCTGGGGAGCTTGCTGGCCTGCCAGTCTAACAAGGGGGTGAATGCCAGGCTTAGTAAGTAAGTGCTTGAGTTGAGAGACGGGAAAGAAGAAGGAGAAAAATAGGGAGTGGGAGAGAAGGAGACCCCGACTCTATCTCAGAAGGTGAGGTAGAAGCCAGGGAGAGGTGGTTCAGCAGATAAGGCTGATGATGAGTTTGATTTTCAGGACCCACATGGTGAGAGGAGAGAACTGCTCCTTCAAGTTGTCCTCTGACCTCCACATTTGTATGTGTATTTTTGACTGTCCTGAAACTCACTCTGTAGATCAGGCTGGCTTCAAACTTACAAAGACCCGCCTGCCTTTGCCTCCCAAGTGCTGGCATTAAAGGCATGCACCACCCTGCTCGGCCACACTTTTACACACATTTACACACACAATAAAAGAATAAAAATTTAATGAAATTAAGTAGAGAGTTATAGTGGAAGGCATCAGTGGTGCATACACACACGCACACACACACGTCCCTTCATGAACTTATGTAATACACAGACACACAAACCACATACACATGCACGGATAAGTTTTTTATAAAGTGATCACTAAGTTGGAAGGAATGCACGTAATTACCAAAATAGTATCTTGAGCAATAGAAGGGTCAAAAGCATAAAAACTTAAATATAAAAAAGAAAAATATATTCTATAGAAAATGGCACTTATAAAATATCTGATATATGTGTATGTAAACCCAGCATAAGTAAAGGGTTGAATCAAATAGAATTCTTTTTTGGTATGGCTAATATTTGAACTAAGATCTTGTGAATGCCAGACAGCTGTCTATCACTAAGCTAACACTTGAAATTCCAGCTAAATGCTTTTGAAATTGAAAACAGGTTGGAGATTAAATGACCCACTCTGATGGAATAAGTTACTTCTTATGCATAGGAAAAACTCTTTGGATTTGTAAGTTTTTCTTAGAGATTAGGTCAAATTATTTCTAACAGTGGGAAGAGGATCATTTTGTTGTGTGGAAAAATATTTCATTGTTTCATGCTAGAAAATGGTTCTAATTAATAAAGCTAAGAAATATATAACTATTTGTATATATCGATATGTAATATAACTAAGGAAAACCAAGTGTTTAACCAAACTGAGATATAAAGTTTGTAAATTGTTCTGAGTCTGTAAGAATTTAAAGGCTCTATTCCCATAAGCCTATTTTGAGTAATCTATTAAAGAATTGAGACAGTCCAGGTGAGTAGAGCTGGACCAGCTGATTATGTAATGTGTATTTGTTTGGTTAATTAAACTGAACAGAGTATGTACAATGATTATACGTTCTAACAGCGTAACTGAAAGTGTCAGAAATGGAAATGAGGAAACATGAGAAGTTTAAAAAATTGTTTGCTTTTTCGCTGTGTTAACTAGCATGGAAATACTATTATTTAAGATTATTAAATAACAGCCTCTGTGGTAGTGCATTCAGCCTGTTTGTTACTGTATGAGTTGCCCTAAGGATCCTTAGACAGTTTCTGGTGGGTATGCATATTTTTTATCTTAGTATTTTTCCCCATCTAGGTTCTAGACAGGAATCCAGGGAACCTTTGGAAAATTCTAAGGCATAAGGCATAAGATTCAAATTGACTAGGTCATCATGTTTATTTGTACTAAGAATAAGGAATATGATTAGTGACCTATATACAGCCAAGTTTAAGTTCTCTGGCCACTAGAACTTACATACCTCAAAGAAATGGGGCTTCACTAAGTTTAATGAATTTGAAGACATGGTAGCTAAGAAGTGGTTCATTTCTGGTGTCTATGAAATCAAATATATCCTCAGTTCTTGTATTTTAGAAAACTGATAAGGCCTTGCACCCCCTTCGGGCTTCAACTGTGCTGGAGTTCTATACCCCACTAGTCATGTTCACTAATAAATATCACATCCATTCTGCTTGTCAAAAGTGTGTGTATTCACAGTACTTGGGAGGCAGAGGTAGGTGGATCTCTGTGAGTTCAAGGCCAGCCTGGTCTACAGAGTTCCAGGATAGCCAAGGCTACAAACAGAGAAACCCCGTCTTAAAAAAACAAAAAAAGTGTGTGTGAAGGTTGGAGAAGGGAGTGGGGAGGAGGTTGTAATATGAATGAGTAACTTATTATTCCTCATACTACAGTATGGACATATTCATGTATATGAGTTTTTTTTTTTTTATGAAGGAGTAAAGATGTGTGTTCACATTTGTATTTATATAAAGATATTTGTTAAATACAGCTGTTAGGACAATACAAACTTTATATTTTCTTTTTAAAAAAATTGTGCCTGGACATTTAAACTCAGTTGGTAGAGTGCTCACTACTGGCTCAGGTTAGTCTGTGACCCCAGTTCCAGGAGATCTGGTGCTCTCTTTTGGCCTCTGTGGGCACTGCATACTTGTGGTGCACATACATACACTGAGACATGCATGTATACATTTAAAATAAGAACTAAGTTTTTTTGGGGGGGAAATACATTTTCAAAATAAAAACAGAAGAAAATAAAACCCCATTACTGACTTCTGTCATGGAGAAACCTGTAAGAGTGAGAGCGTGGTAGCAGTTACCAGTGTCTTGCAGGTTATGCTTCAGATAAACCCCTCCCTTACTACAGAGGAAAGTTTTATGAGGATGGGCCTTGTATAGATAGCAAAGATGCCATCAGGGATTTGTAGAGTTGCCCTCACAGAACGAACAGCCAGCTTGAAGAGTTCTCACTCGTCATATACAGACAAGCCTGTTTGTGTAGTTACAGCAGTTAGCAGCATTTAGATTGATAAAAGCCTCATAGGTCAAATAATCCCGTTACTTCATATTATTTACAAAAAAGCATTATGAGTGTTTTGCTTATTTGTATATATGCACCATGTATGTGCCTGGTGCCCACAGAGGGTAGAAGAAGGCATTAGATCCTCTGGAACTGGAGTTTATGGATAGTTGTGAGGTACCCTGTGGATGCTGGGAATTAAACCTGGTCCTCCACAAGAGCAAATGCTCTAAACTGCCGAGCTAGTTCTCCAGCCCTTAAGATTTATTTTTAACATGTCTGTCTGTCTGTCTGGATCTGTGTGTGTGTGTGTGTGTGTGTGTGTGTGTGTGTGTGTGTGTGTGTGTGTGACTGTGAGTGCCCCCAGCATACAGAAGAAGGCATCAGATCTCCTGGAACTAGAGCAAGAGCACGTACTCTTGTGGCTAAGCTATCTCTCCAGTCCATTATTCAGACTTTGTGTGTGTGGGTGGGTGGGTGGGGTGCTTGTAACCAAACCTAATTACTCTACAAGAACAGTATGTGTTCTTAACTGCTAAGTCTTCTCTCTAGCTCATTAACTTTTGGGTCTTCATTTTAAACAAACTAAAGTGTAACTTTAGTTTGTTTAAAGTATAAAGTATATGACAGGAATTTAAATATTGATATTTTATGCTTTATGATACAGAATTATTGATAGTGTTGGGTGGGTAGATAATAGTAGAAGATCTGTTGTCTCTTATTAATGTTTGTTTTGTATGTATATGCTGATGCAATCTGGGAATGGAGAATGTGTAGAGAGGAATGATTGGCCATGAGCTGATAATCCAGTATGCTATTATTTACTTTTGTTCACTGCTTCCCTAATAAAGATCAAAGGGGGAAAGAAAAAGAAACTAAAACATTTTTTTGTAGTATTTATTAAATATGTATAGTTTATGTGCATATCTATATATGTGAAAGAGAAAGAATGGGCAAAAAGACAAGACTGTCAACTAGAAATGGTGGGACTTGTTTCAAGAAGGTGGAGAAGTCAAACAAGTCAACAGTATACAAGGTTAACTTTATTTCTGTTAGGGAGTAGTTGGCTGTTGTTCTAGTCTCACTAGTTTTCCGCTGTTGTGATTCTGTAATGTTAAAAGAGTGGCTTTTGTCTCTGAGTTTCAGGTGGAGCCAATGGAAGTGCTTGTTTCCGGGTTGTGTGCCTGTGCATGTAAAGGTCTCAGGACAGGGTTTAAATCTGCTGAAAAGTCAGGTTGCTACTGATACCTGTGCCTGGCTGACCTTCTTACTCTATTAATGCACATATTATTTCTTCACTCCTCTCTTGAAGTTGTTACTTTAAAATTTTATCTTGGGATAATTAATATTTTATATGTATGCGTGTTTTGCCTGCACGCGTGTATGTGCACCACATGTATGCTGGTGCCTGCAGAGAGCAGAGGAGGGTATTCAATCTCTTGTAACTAGATTTAAAATTGGTTGTGAGCTACCATGTGGGTGCTGGAAACAGAAATCCGCAAGAGCAGGTACTCTTAATAGCTAAGCTTTCCGATTCATTATTCAGATGTTTTTAAAAGATACAACTAATTTTATAACTAGTAATCATTTGAATATGGTTATGTAAAATTTTTAAAATTAGGAACACGTAAAATCAACACTTTTTTTTTTTTTTTGGTTTTTCGAGACAGGGTTTCTCTGTGGTTTTGGAGCCTAAAATCAACACTTTAAAATACAAATGATGGTGATAGAATTTAATAATAAATCTTTTTCTTAATTTTTTTTTCTTTTTTTAAGACTTTAGGTAAAGTTGGCCGAGTACAACAGATTTATTCAGACAGTGATTTAAAGGTGGAAGTTTGTGGAACTTCTTGGACATACAATCCGGCAGCAGTTTCCAAGGTGGCTTCTGCAGGATCTGCCATTAGCAATGCATCTGGTGGTATGTTTTTTCTTGCTTCCTTAAAGATAATACCCAGTTCTCAGACCGGGCCTGGTGGCACACATCCTTAACTCTAGCATTCAGGTAGAACTCTGAGTTTGAAGCCACCTGGTCTACAGAGCTAGTGCTACAGCAAGTGCTACTTAGGGAAACTGACTTGAGAAACAAACAAACAACAGCAAAACTAGTTGTCATACACTGATAGTCTTGTATGTCCATCTGGCTTTCTTCCATAGTATAGGTTCACTGGGGTGTGACGTACTTTGTAAACTTTTCTTTCTTTACTCCCTTTCTCTTTCCCTTCCTGTTGAAATATGAAGCAGCGGGGCTGCGTCCCCAACACCCCGGCCGCTTGGCTAGCTCATGCCCGAAATAACAACACACAAACTGTATTCATTTAAGAACTGCTTGGCCCCTGAACTCTAGCCCTTACAGGCTAATTCTCGCACCTGGTCTAGCCCATTTCTAATGATGTGTGTAAGCACCCCAAGGTGCGCTTACCGGGAAGATTCTAGCCTCCGTCCATCATGGTGTCTCTGCTCCAGAGAGCAGAGCTGTGGAGTCTCCGGGAGCAGAGCAGAGTCTGACCTCACTTCCTCTTCCGCCCAGAATTCTATTCTGTTTACTCCTCCCATCTATGTTCCAAGCTGAGGCCAAGCAGTTGGTTTATTATAACTTAACCAATGAAATCAACAGATTGATATATGACACTCCCACATCACTTCCCCTTTTTCTGTTTAAAAAAAAAAAAAGAAGGCTTTAACTTAACATCCAAAGCTCTAGAAATGACAGAGACATCTCGCTGCCTGGACAGTCACCCAAAGTTCCTCTGTACCGTTGGGGCATCCATCTTCGGCCTACAGGCCCATAGTTTCCAGCAGACATTTCCACAAAGCAGGAAATTTCAAAGGCAGTCACTATCTGCTTGTCCTGAAGAATGTCTTGCAGACTCTTTCATGAATCAGGAACCCCGAAAGATCATCTCACCTTTAGGCAAGTTCAGCAGTCCTCTCTCTGCGGGTTCTCTGTGTCCAGTTTATGCAATAGTCCAGGCAAGAGCAGTTTCTTGCCCAAATGGCTATCAAACTCCATAAGGATCCTCTTCGATGCCCATCTTCCTCTTGAAGTAGATTGGTGCTGCCAGGAGCAGAGTGTCTCATTGTCATGAAAAGTCCTAAGTTATTAAAACATGTAAAATGCCATATTCTCTAGCCTTTGAAAGATATGAAGAATGCCTATCTAAAATATATCTATGCACATCTAGAAAATCTTAACTAACATAACTACAAGCTTAACTACTATTAATGATTATTCATTAACAACCTATATACATTCAAAATTGACCTTAAATCTCTATCAATAAAGCAAAATCTATACTAATGCAAATTATTCATATCTATATCATATCCCCCTTTAAATGTAAAAGAACATTTATAAACAATATTTGGGAACATGGGCGCAGTTTTTTCTCTCCAAACTGCTTCCTGCTGAATGGGGGCGTCGTTAATTAGGTCTTTCATGGTATAACCTGTGTGCTAGTTTCATCTCAGTTGGCAGTTGAGCGAAGCAATTTTCTGAAGGTATTCACAGCAACCGTTCAGGAGGGCGTGGTCCATCATACCATATCGGAATAGAAGAAATGAACAGGGTCTCATCCTCTGTGAAAACAAAAAAAGAAACTCCTTTCCAAAGTATCATGTCCTTAGATCCAAATTTCAAAGTCAAGGCATCAAAATCTCTACGTTGGATTAGTTCAGCAGCATTTATAAACAAATATCTTTTGGCAGCTGTTGCTCCTTCCTCAGCATTCAAACAATTCAAAGAGAGCATAATAGTATACAGTATCAAGATTCTCTGTGTATTTTCCATCTTTGTACGCTTTATTTTAACCTCTATTTCGTTTATTTTTACTTTTATTTTATATTCTCTGTATCTCTTTGACCTGGAATAACTCTGTAGACCAGGCTCTCCTTGAACTCTCAGAGATCTGCCTGTCTCTGCCTCCCAGGCATTGGGATTAAAGGTGTTTGCTACTACACCTTGAACTCACAGAGATCTGTTTGTCTCTGCCTTCTAGGCACTGGGATTGAAGGCGTGTGCTACCACACCTTGAAGTCACAGAGGTCAATCTCCCTCTGCCTCCCAAGCGTTGGGATTAAAGGCGTGTACTACCACACACAACTTCTCTTTTTCTTACTTTTTTTTAAGAACTTTTAACTTTTAGCTTGCATATATTTTCAACACACTGTAAATCATTTAAAAATTTTCTTTGTCTTTGAATCTCTTTACTGTATATCTCTCTTTTTCTGACCACACGAGCCTTTAAATTACTGAGCAATATGAGTAGGATTAAAGCCGTGGCTTTGCCAGATAGATCCAGTCCATTCCTTAGCTTTCTGGCCTCATGGCTGAGGTACACGGTTACTGCCACAACTCTATGGCATTTCAAGGTCCTTGCCAGCAAGTGAGCTTCAGCAGCCTGTGATTGCAAACCACACGAACTGCCTGCGTAAAAGAGTCAGAGTTTGCCCTGGCAGGACAGCCCAGAAAGCCGGCATTTTTAAACAGCACAGCTTTTTTCCTGCTACGGCTGAAAACCGAAAAGCATGCGTTCAGCTTTTCACCAACACCGTTTAAGTGTTTCGTGGCAGGACCTCTTAATGAGCTGCAGGGTTTTGCAGCTGAAGCTGAGTCAGGAAGCCTCTCTTAGATGAGAGTGCTTGCTTGCTTCTAACAAGCAGAGGAGACCCGAGAAACTGCTGCTACCAAGAAAACATGCTTCACTCCATTCTTTCCCAAGCTTTTTCAGGCTTTTTGTGGATTCAGTTAGCCACACGTCTGGGCACCATCTGTTGAAATAGGAGCGGCGGGGCTGCGTCCCCAACACCCCGGCCGCTTGGCTAGCTCATGCCCGAAATAACAACACACAAACTGTATTCATTTAAGAACTGCTTGGCCCCTGAACTCTAGCCCTTACAGGCTAATTCTCGCACCTGGACTAGCCCATTTCTAATGATGTGTGTAAGCACCCCAAGGTGCGCTTACCGGGAAGATTCTAGCCTCCGTCCATCATGGTGTCTCTGCTCCAGAGAGCAGAGCTGTCGGGTCTGTCCGGGAGCAGAGCAGAGTCTGACCTCACTTCCTCTTCCGCCCAGAATTCTATTCTGTTTACTCCTCCCATCTATTTCCAGCCATGAGGCCAAGCAGCTGGTTTATTATAACTTAACCAATGAAATCAACAGATTGATATATGACACTCCCACATCACCTTCCTTTCCACCCTTCTCTCCCCTTTCTCTCTTTTTAGTACACTGATTAACTATCATTCTGGCTGAAATACTTTCTGGAAAAGGTGATGAATTTGTAATTTTTCTGGGGCATGTCAGGCTTCTCTGTAGCAGACCTGAGACACTTGAAGCTCAGCTCTGATCTCTAGTCAGAACTTGCATTTTCTGCCAAAAATCCTTCTCTTTCTTAAAATCTTTTCTTTCTTAGCTTACTTTTTATTTTCAACATTATTGCTAGCAGATGTTTTTCCTCCTGTGTGTTTTTATTTATCAATTATATTTTTCTTCTTAGCATTTAATAAGTTACTATACCTGGCATAACTTCAGGAACTGGTAAAATGTGAACTTGCTGAGTTCTTGGCTAAACTCATTCCTAACATTCCTTCAAATGCCTAACTTTGTGTGCCTGTCAGTTTTATTCCGCAACATTTTCTAAGTTACTGTATGTCTATTCTTGCCGTCTAGTAAGGGAGACAGAGCCATAATAGTAAGTGGAATGTACGAAAGGAAACAGTAGGTTAGTAGATATGGTTGTGCTACCCTGTAGTCATATTTGATGGGGGAGGCAAGAGGATCTGAGTTTGAGGTTAGCCTGGGCAGGTTGAGACCCTGTATCTAAAAAGAAAGAATGATTTAAGATTTTATATCTGTGCTGCTTTCTTTCTCTCTTTTGAGTTCTTGTTGCGCAAATTGCTAGTGTGCAGATGGCTTAAATTAAGCAGTGTTGATTTCTGTTTTGAGGCTAGATGCAGCTAACTTGGTTACATATAAAATAAAAAGTGAAGAATAGTTAATACCTACTCTCAAATAATTGGACTTGGCATATCTTTTGATTTTTCTCTTACCCCAATTTTTGATTTTTCTACTTTTGAGTAATGACTCCAAAAATTAAGGGAAGAACTTGGTATCCTGTGTTAATTCTACTCTTTAGGGCAGTCAGGTGGCACTTGACAGAGCACATTTATATGTTCATTTTCAGCTGAAAATTGATTTGCTCCTAATGTATATTCCAAGACACTATAGAGGTTACATTGTTTCTAAGTCATAACTCTTGCACTCTTGAGTTTTGTAAAGTCTGTAGTGTTTTATGATCTGAACTGTAGAATTAAGACATTGTATCATTGTAGGATTCCCCATGCTAGTGTTTTGTTTAGAGGATCATTAGTATGACTTTAAATATAAAATTGTTTTAGTCTTGTCACTCCTTACTTTTTCTTCATATACAACTTGAAATACATGATTATAGAATATTTATTGGGTTGAATTTTTAATGTATTGGTATCAAGGCTTATTACTTCATGGGTAGTCTGTACACAGTAAAATAGTAAAACAGGAAAAGTGTTTAGGAATCTGGTTCCTCTACTAGCAGTTTGTTTTGTGTTTTGCAGAAAGACTGTCACAGCTTCTGAAGAAATTATTTGAAACCCAAGAATCTGGTGACCTCAATGAAGAACTGGTTAAGGCTGCTGCCAATGGGGACGTGGCTAAAGTGGAAGATTTGCTGAAGAGACCAGATGTGGATGTGAGCCTTTCAAAACAGCTTTTGAGGGATAGCAAAAATCGTAGTTTAATAATTTAATAAAGGTTGAAGTTTTCAAGCCATTTAAAATTGACTCTTGCAGTTGATAAGTATGAACCTGTTATTATTTTTCATGTGTATGGGCAGTATTTTTAGTACTGGTTATTGAACATACACACCTTTTTCTCCAGTATGTATCTTACCCTCAGCTTCCACTGTCAAAAAATCAGCTGATTATTGATTCAGGGGTTGTATGTTCTTTGTATCTGTTTTTGTTTCAGTTATTATAGTTTTGAGTATATTTTGAAGTCAGAGTACTATAGTATTCTCTGCCTTATTCTTTCTGTTCAAGATGGTGTGTGTGTGTGTGTTTCCATATAACTTTTAGAGTTTTTTAGTTTTTTGCTTCTGTCAGGGATTATCACTGGGATACATTGTGTAGCTCGCTTTGGGACTTTGGATGTTTTTATTATTCTTGTAATACATGAAGTTTGCATGTCTTTCTGTATTTATGTGTTTTCTTCAGTTTCTTTCCTCAGCAGTTTAGAAATCTTTGACCTCTTGGTCAGATTTACTCTTAGTTACTTTTTGGGTTCCAGTTGTAACTGGGATGAAAGTTTCTTATTTCGGATAGCTTGCTATTGAGATATGCCATTTGTTAGTGACGTTTTTAACTCAAGTAATGTTTTGAGGGCTTCTTCAGGGATAGCCCGCTATCTTCTGTTTTCCCCTTTGCACTTACCTTCCTGTCCTCCACCCTCTCTTGGGCTTTTAGAAAGGACCTTGCATTGTAACCCTGGGTGGTCGTGTGCCTCGTCTCTGAGATTCTGGGATAACAGGAATGGTGGCTTTCTGGTTTTCTGTTTAGAAATCATGTCCCCTACAATGAAAGTTTGGTCTATTCTTGCAGTTTAGATGTGTAGTGATATTTCATTTGTAGTTTAACAAATAAAGCTTGCCTGAAGATCAGAGAGTAAAACAGCAGCACTAATCAGCCTTACAGGCCTGTGTGACACACGCCTTTCATCCCAGTAGCTACACTAGTTTGCTCTAGAAACAGAGTGGTAATGGTGCAGCCTTTAATCCCAGCACTGGAGAGGAATATAAGACGGAGGAGACAGCTCTCAGTCTGAGTCTCATTCTTAGATTCCTGGAGGCAGGATCGTCATTTTTCCAGTGGCTGGCTGTTTTGATTTTCTAATATTCATTTTGAACACGATTTTCTGTCGCTGGGTTTATTTTAATCGTGGTACATAGACGCCCTTTGTTTTTTTTTTCTCTTTTTTGATTGCTCTGTGACTTCCAGTGCCAGGTTGAATAAATACATGGTCAAAGTAGCCATCCTTGCCTTGTTCCAAATCTAAGAGCTTTCTCATTTAGCCTGTTAGCTGCTGCTCACTGTATGCTCTCTTCATTATATTGAAGTATATTCCAGCTATATTCAGTTTGTTCACTTTGCATCATGAAGAGATGTTAGATTCTTCATTATATTGAAGTATATTCCAGCTATATTCAGTTTGTTCACTTTGCATCATGAAGAGATGTTAGATTTATCAAGTACTTTTTTTTGCATTCATTGAGATGTTCATATTATTTCTTTGTCCTTCATTTGTTGAGTGGTATAATCATCTTTATTGATTGCAGATGTTGAAGTACTTTTGCATTTTTTGCATAAACTACACAATTGTGATGAATAATCTTTTAAAGGGTTTTGCATCAATGTTTATCAAAGATATTTGCCTCTAGTTTTGTTTTGTGTGTGTCCTTGTTTAGTTTTCATACCAAGATAATGCTTGCTTGACAGAGTTTGGAATAATAATTAAAGAGAACTGTCATTAGTTCTTCCTTGAGAGGTACAGTTGAACAAAACAAGTCTTTGGGTGGTTGCTACTGATTCTTTGCATGTTACTTTCTATCCAAGTTTTCTATTTTCTGAAAATTCATTGTTGATAGGGATGCATATATCCATGAGTTTGTTCATTGTAGACATACGGCTGTAAAGGATCTCAGTGATCCTTTGTGGGCATACAGCTGTAAAAATCTCAGTGATCCTTTGTGGGCATACAGCTGTAAA